ATGAATATATATGCATATAAATACTTTGGTTAATCTCTCCCCACCCACCCACCTACTCCTGGCCTTCTCTCTGTTTCCTGCTTCTATGTCTCTGGATCTATTTTGTTCATCAGATTCCACATATGAGAGAGATGATATGATAGTTGTCTTTCTCTGACTGGTTTATTTCGCTTAGCATAATGCTCTTCAATTCTCCTAAATTTACTCCTCGGTTATACTTGTGACCAAAAGTACACAAAAGTGACTTTATTGTAAATTTCTGCAAACACTTTTAAAGCCATTCTTATTACTATTTGAGTGGCAATTCTTTAGATACGTTCCATCTTGGGAACTAATCAGAACTGTGTTCTCTGAATCATGTTTGATTAGATGTTCAGAGTACAGACATACTTTGAAATCAAATGAACTATCTTAAACGTGCAAGTTAAAAGAATAAATAAGAGATTCTCTAAATAATTGAGATTTCTCTTCTCCCCCTCACCAATATTCTACAACTGATCAAACTTCCATCCTATACTCTGCTTTCTAATTTATTAATCACTAAAGAATAAAAAGGCTAGGCTTGATTATTTTTTTGTTCGAATAAAACATAATTTTGGGAGAAAACGTTAATGAAGAAGAATAACATCAGTATGATCTTAGACCTGTATCACAATCTGCACATTCCTAGGTAGGTTTTAAGAATACACTTTGGGTTAAAACGCACCCTAACAATTTATCACTATAGCTTGAAAATAGGAGGGTAACGATACTCTCTCCCTAAGAAAAGCCATGCAGCAACACCTTTCTACCTGCAGCACTTACCACCATGCTCAAAACAAAGGCCTCATTTGCATTAAGGGACTAAATCCAAAGGTATTCAATACTGAAAGAAGATATACAATGGCAAACAAGCATAAGAAAAGGTGCTCAACAGTACTAATCATCAAGAAAATGAAAATAAAAACCACAATGAGATATCACCTCACGCCCGTCAGAATGGGTATTCTCAAAAAGATAAGAGATAACTAATGCTGGGCCAGGATGTAGAGAAGAGGGAAACCTTTTGCACTGTTGGTGGGAATATACATTGGCAAAGCCACTATGTTAAACAGTATGGAGGTTCCTCAATAAATTAAAAATAGAACTGCCATATGATCCAGCAATCCCACTTACGGATATATACCTGATATATACCTGAAAGAAATGATGTCACAATCGCAAGGAGGTATCAGCACTCCCATCTTCATTGTAGCATTATTCACAAAAGCCAAGACATGAAACAACCAACCTAAGCGTTCATCAATGAATGAATGCTTAAAGAAACTGTGGTATGTATACAATGCAATATTCAGCTATGAAAGGAAATTTATTTTGCCATCTGTGATAACATGGATGGACCTTAAGGGCATTACTCTAAGTGAAACAAATCAGCCAGAGAAAAACAAATGTTGTATGATCTCATTTCTATGTGGAATCTAAAAAACAGTAATTAAAAACAAAACAAAACCCAAACCAAATTCATAGAAGCAGAGGGGGGTGGGAATGGTGAAAGTGGTCAAAGGGTACAAGCTTCCAGTTATAAAACAAATAATTCTGAGGCTGTGATGTACAGCATGGTATTTGTAGCTGACAATACTGTATTGTAGACTTGAAAGTGGCTAAGAGAGTAGATATTAAAAGTTTTCACTATAGCCCTAACTGGTTTGGCTCAATGGATAGAGCATCAGCCTGGGGACTCAAGGGTTCCAGGTTCGATTCCAGTCAAGGGCATGTACCTTGGTTGCAGGCACATACCCAATAGGGAGTGTGCAGGAGGCAGCTTTTTTCTCTCACCTGATGTTTCTCTCTTATCGATGTTTCTAACTCTCTATCCCTCTCCCTTCCTCTCTGTAAGAAATCAATAAAAAATTTTTAAAAAAAGTTTTCACTACACACACAAATGGTAACTATGTGAGGTGATGACATGTTAATTAATTTTATTGTGGTAATCATTTTGCAACATCTACATATATAAAATCATCACATTATACATCTTAAATTCACACAATGTCTAATGTCAGTTTTATCTCAATAAGGCTGGCAAAAAAAAAAAGACTGAGGTATGTGTGACATCTACATTTTTATCTTCTCAAATGCACACTAGTTACTAAACTCTGATCAATTGTTCAGAAGTTTTAAAATCAAGATACTCATCAGCTTTGGGCTTTTTACTAACATGGGTTCCTTAGAACTATTTACCAACTCATGAGCAATGGCTGAGTTTATATTTCAGAGATTTAGAGAAGGTAACATTTTGGATTCTTGACCTGGTTATAAGAGACACCTTTTTTGGCATGCCTATGTTTGATTTCCGCATACTATTTCTCTGGGGTCATGCAGTGGATCTAGTTTTTCATGTTTCCAAATATAACAATCAGATTTATATTTTGACTCGAAAATTCCTAGTTGTAGTTCTGTATGTAAACATAAAAGCCAGCTGTGCCTTAGATCTTGTGTGCAGATCATTTTTTGTTATTAAAGGGGTGATGAGGCTAAAAGGCCACTTGTGACCCAAATGGAAATCTTGCAAATGGAACAGATCTCCAGTGTGCTCTTTGGTCTGTCTGTCTACTCTCTGTGTTGAGTTTCAAAAGAGTAACCTTAACATTAGCGATATGCAACTGAGCACAGTTTGTATGAAACAAACTGGACTAGATTTGTTCCAGGCTCAAAAATGATTTCTCCCTGATGTAGACTGCGACTTGATGAGGTCTCGGTAACAGCAGCAAAAACTAGCCATCTGAAACATAGGTGAGAAGAGTAGCTGCCCTCTGCTCAGGTTATACTAGTTGACATCTTTCAGTTTCCACCTTCAAGGCAAGAATAATTTTCTTGTAGTAAATGCTTATTGCTGCACATACCAATCTCTGTCTAGTAGGGCACACAGCCATTGTATCCCATTCTCTCTTTCTCTCTCTTCCTTTGTAGCTCATCAGGTTTTAGAGTGGAAGTGAGTTCCAGTTTAGAGTTCATTCAGACAGCCCTGAGACTATCAAGTCTGATATTTTTGAGCTAAGCAAGAAAGGTCAAAATGGAGGTACATGAACAAAACTTTCAATTGGGTGTGATTTGAGAATACAGTGCTATAGTTTAGTTGCAATAGAAAATTTAAGAGCTCAAAAATTCGAGAATAATTTAGAATAAAATACCTGGGGTCTTTTTCCATTTTAAAATAAATTAAGCAATTCTGTGTGGTTGAGGATTGACAGCAAAATGTAGAATTTCTCACCAGGGAATTGTATTAGCAGCAAAACTCATAATGCATTCCATTTGTTGAAAAGACCATGAAGGAGCCCTAGCTGGTTTGGCTCAGTGGTTGAGCGATGACCTATGAACCAGGAGGACATGGTTTGATTTTTGGTTGGGGCATATGCCCAGGGTGCAGGCTCAGTACCCAGTAGGGGACATGCAGGAGGCAGCCCATCAGTGATTCTCTCCCATCATTGATGTTTCTATCTCTCTCTCTCTCCCTCTCCCTTCCTCTCTGAAATCAATAAAGATATATTAACCAAGAGGTTGCTGGTTTGATTCCAAGTCAGAGCATATGCCCAGGTTGTGAGCTCCATCCCCAGTGTGAGTGTGTGGGAGCAGGGGAGGGGGGAAGAGGTTGTGTATGTGCAGGAGGCAGCTGATCAATGATGTTTCTCTCTAATTCATGTTTCTATCTCTCTCCCCCTTCCTCTCTCTAAAAAAATCAATAAAAACATTTAAAAAAATGGAAAAGAGCATGAACCAGGTGCTATATTCTTATAGTTCTTGGCCAATTATACTTAGCTACAGCCAAATTGTGGTTATTTGGAAAGTGCTTTCTATATTGTAACTTTTATCAATGTAATAAGAGACCTCATGGACATTGATTCCTATAATGTGTTACCATAGATAAACATCATTATAACTGCTTCCAAGTATTTACTTGCATTAGCGATGTAGCTATAACACAAGATATTCCTCTGTAATAGAAATCCTGAACATTGACTAAAGGTTAACATGGTAGGCAAACGTTTCAGTGATCTTTGAAACTTTTATACTTGACAGTAACTCTCCCTTTTCTAGATAGAACTTTTTGTGTGCACTGCATAAATATTATCGACAGTTCTTATATTACATAAACTTTATGTACATTTTTGTTCATAGGTTTCACTTACCAGAATCAAGAGGCAACTCGAGGCCAATTTCGTGTGCTCAGGAATGGTGGAAAACACTGACAAAATCAAGCAACCAAAGACAAGGAGAAACCTGTAAAACGACAAGAAAAAAGAGAAATTGATGAGAACCTTGCCTTATCATGACAGACTTAATTTCTTCTTTCTAACGAGTAAAGCACCAGATCCATGTGACTTGGCACATGTGATTGGTTAAATCATACACGCCCTGGAAGGGACCAGCCATTTTTAATAGCAAAATACAATATGATGTAGGTGCAAATGGGGGTCCTTTGTAACTTTATTGGTGAGGCGAAGGTTGTGTGTTGCATGCTGTATTTAAACGTCCACATCCTAGAATCTAGGAATTTCCCATAAACATCTTCCCAAGCAGGGGTTCTGAGAAAGGCCCAGACAGTGGGATACTTCTCTGTCTCTTCACTATCCAGGAGCAAGTGCCACAGCTGCTCTCCCTTCAGAGAAGCCGAATCTGCCTCACATTCATTCTTCTGGTGACTCGTCAACTGTTCTAAATAGTTGTTACTAAGCCCCTGGCTCATTTTCAGAGTCTGATGTTGCTCATGGATTCTAGTTTGTTATTTTATTTTTTTTCAATCCTCATCTGAGGATATTTTTTTCCATTGATTTTTAGAGAGAGTGGAAGGGAGGGAAGAGGGGAGAGAGAGAGAGTGAGGGAGGAAGAAATATCTACGTGAGAGAGACACATCGATGGGTTGCTTCTGCCCCCCACCCCCGGGGCTGGGGATCAAACCTGCAGCTGAGGTGTGTGTCCTTGACTGGGAATTGAATCCACAACCATTTCGTGTGCAGGCCAATACTCTAACCATTGAGTCAAACCGGCCAGGGGAGGGAAGAGGTAATGATAATGATAATGATAATGATAATGATAATAATAATAATAATGGAAGGGAATAATTTCCTCTGATATCCACATGCTTTCTGTGTCCTTATAGTCAAACTACTAGAGAAAGGAGCCCTCAGCTCTGTCTGTTCATACACAATGATTGGGATCAGAAGTCAGGAGCAGACTTTTCTACAAGTCATCTACAGAGATTTTTATTCCTAGAAATATGCAACTTCTGAGGGCCAAAGGGGGAGCCAATTTCCCAAGGAAATGTCTAAGAAAAAGGGAAGACTCTGTTGTAAAGTTGAAGTTATTTATCCTCAAATGCAAGATTAAAAAAACAAACAAATCTAACAATACCTGAGCTACTTGCTCTAGGCCAGTGATGGCGAACCTTTTGAGCTCGGGCATGTCAGCATTTTGGAAAAACCCTAACTTAACTCTGGTGATGTGTCACATACAGAAATTTTTTGATATTTGCAACCATAGTAAAACAAAGATTTATATTTTTGATATTTATTTTATATATTTAAATGCCATTTAACAAAGAAAAACCAACCAAAAAAAATGAGTTCATAGGTTCACCATCACTGCTCTAGGCCATATTTTTCACTTTCACGTATTTCTGGGAAGTTTATGTAATAACATCCCTGAAAATATCAGTCTCCACGTTCTTTAGTATGGCAGTGGAGTGGGTTCCCACCCCCTCTGGCTCATCTTGGCAAGTCTTATAAGTCTGTCTACTGCACTTAACTGGGAGCACAAGTGATTGGTGAATTATGGTCTTGAAGACAAATCGGGACTCTAATGCCTATTGTTAAAAGTAAAGTTTTATTGGCACACAGACACACCCATTTGTTTCTGCATTGTTTATGGCTACTGTCATGCTACAACTGCAAAACTGAGAAGTGTGACAGAGAAGTATGGTGCACAAGAGTAAAATATTTATTCTCTGGCCCTTCAGAGAAAAAGTTCCCTGACTCCTAACAAATACCACGTATTCCTTATCTCTTTAAATCTATCCCAACACCGAACTAGAGTGCAAGTTCAAACTGTTTATATTCTATGTGCTTAAAACAATTAGCAACATCCATAGAGCCTTTTCTACAAGCTGGACATGGGTCTAAGCCCCTTTCACATGCATCACCCACATTATCCTCACAAATGTATGGAAGAGAAATATCATTACATTTACAGATGTGGAAACTGAGAACGAAAATTATTTTGTAACTCATCCAAGGTTGTGTAGCAGAAAGAGTATGCATGGATGAGAATGGAAATAACACTATTGGCTCAGCGAGACATTTGGGGATACTTCTCGGTCTCTTCACACTGAAAAGGGAAGTAGTTATCATTCCATATAGAAGCCTGTAAGGGAAAGGATTTCACTAGTGAAAAACCCCCAGCACACAATGTTAATAACTACGCATCAGGCTTTTCACTCATGCGTATAATGATTCAAGATACTTTAGATGATTAAATTGGTCCTGATGGACTGGAAACCAGGAATCAAATTCCTTTGCCCCTATATGACTCACAGACTCCTAATGAGAAGTTGAAAATCAGGGATCAGTAAGATAGTTTGGAGGATGATGTGGCATCAAATAAAGACAGTGACACCTGTTTCTTGGCTGGTGAGTGCCTATTACCTGCATATGCCCATGAGTTCAGTCTTCCCAGAAAACATTAGAAAAAGTAAGCAGGCGGATTGCTTAATCACTAAGACACCACCTTCTTTCAAAAGCATCCCAACACTAGCTGCATTTGTACTTAAAGCAGATCTATGCAATGATTCTTTTTGCTAGTTCCTTCTTCATTAATCTTTTTGTTTAATATTTTTGCTTCATGTCACTACTTTGCCCATTTTCTTCCTTGAGCTGATCTTACCCTTTCTAACAAGTAGTTTCTGCACTAGAATTCTGTTATTGCTATAGGGGCCCATCTGAGGACTGCAAGCCAAACACATCGAATGCTCTAGCTGTCCAAAGGGCTATGGATGGTCAAATACATTCATTAATTTGTTAATTCCTTCCCCTTTTCCTTCCCTCAACCACTCAGCCACTTACCCAATCATCAAATATTAATTATGTATATAATACTATGCTCAACCTTGGGTATATAACAATAAATAGTGTTCTTTTTTCCCCTTTCAGAACTTAGGATCTGTTGAGGCACACAGAATACTAAACAGATGTAAATAGAAAAGTAAAATTCTGAGTGATTATTGCAGGGATAGGAAAAATACAAGAGAAGACAGAAATATACAGAAAGGAGAGGTTAGGCACAACTAACTATAGTTAATTTGTGGAGTCAAGTGCAAAGTGAATACGCAGGGACCTTTATTAAAAAATTATTAAAAATGTCAAGATGATGACAGCAGAACATGACACCAAGTATTGAGTCCTTCTTGATGTTGGGTCCTTGGGACTACACAGGTGACAGGCCCATGAAGCCAGACTTGGGTTAGGGAAGACTTCCTGAGAAAAGCACTGACCAAACTCAGTCCTGACGGTCCAGAGGAGTGTGCACAATAGTTGGAATGACTAGTCCATGAGACTATGGGTTAAGGCCAGGTGCAACCACAGTGTCACTAAAATTCACTTGTTAATCAATAAATGACAATTAGTGAACACCTGACAGCTAGTTTATTCTTTGGTGGCACATGGAAAGTGTAAGGTAGGGCCTTCCTGCAACTCACTTCCTGTTTAGGGATCATTTCAGCTCAACTGAAAACAGGCACTGAGCACCCATTGTAAAAGAGACTGTGCCATGTACTGCCGAGGCACAGGATGGATTAAAGCAGCCTCTACCCTGAAAATATAGTGCAGTGGGTGAGGTCAAAATAATGGATCTCAATGAAGGATTGAGGCAGATAAGTCATAAGAAAAATGCTTAGAGGCTGAAGTGGGGAGGGTTCTATTCCACCAAATTGGGAATGGTGGAAGCACATCAAAAAAGTCTCCAAAAATGGGTGGTGCTTGAGATGGTCTTTGGAGGAAGGGTAGGGCTTCGACCAGAGAAGCTTCTGGGGAAACAAATTCCAGAAGGAGGGTACAATATGAGAAAGGCAACAAGCCAGAAAATAAAGGCGGTAAAATATTTGCTCTCTTTTTTATGGAACAAAAAAGTTATCGAGTTAGACTGCAGCACTGGGTCAGACAGGTGGCTGAACTGGGAGTCTGGGGACATGATCAGGGGAAAAGCTTATATGGCAGGGCCTGTCTTTAGTTCAGTGGCGCTGCCCTCTGGTAAAATCAAGCTGGCAGCAGTGTATGTTAGGACGTATCTGAATAGTTGAGTAGCAGAGGCAAGGGTAGTGGTGATCTAGGTTAGGTTGTAAAGTAACTGGTGGAAATGAGAATAGAATAGAGACACAGACTATAAATATAGGAGCTCCCTGCCATTCCTAGTTATTGGATTGGGGAGTAAAGTTTGGGAAGGAGGTGTGGTGGTTGGAAAGTCTGAAGTTTCCATACCTCATTATTTGTGATGCTCCTAACAAGTCAGGAGGAGAAAAGTCAGGAGGAAAAACTGATTTTGGGGAGAAGAGGATAAATCCAATTTAAGGCATCCACATAGATGTGGATCTAAATCTTGGGGACAAAGTCTGGGTGGAGACATGAAAGTACTTCTTTCCTAGAGGAAGTTAGTGTGTGGAACATGTTATCCTCAGGAAAGTTGTAGACCAAGCATGTAAGGTGTAGCTAAATAAACAAATATTTGGGGAACATTTCCTGATGTTGGAGAATGACATTATGGAGAATAAGGAACATGTTTTTCTATACCAGAGACAGACTCTTTGTCTGGGGAAGCACTGAATCGACACGGAATGACCCCGGGGAGTGACAGTGTTTAGATATCAGGCTCATTGGCAGTGAATGGTGCACTGCTGGGTTTTGAGTGTGACTGCTGGCATCATTGCTCCTGAGGGTCCCATGCACGTGGATGCATGCTGACCACTGACCAGTACCCCACTCCACTGGTTGGATAAAAGTGGGAGCAGCGGCAAGAGTCATTGGATACAGTCCTAATCTAGGGTTCATGGGCCTCCAAGGGGTCTGTGGATAGGATTTAGGGGGGTTTTGAATATAGAAGGGAAAATTGCACTTTTATTTGTCACTAACCATGGCAACAAACCATGATGGTATTAGAAGTATTTATGACTTTCCCATTCATAGAAATCACAGATATTTTTATACCCCATTTTATAATTGTAGATAAAA